TTAGCAATGCTTTGGTTTTTGAAGTAAATGTAAATTTAGGGGTTGTTTTGTAAGTTCTTTCAAAATGCAGGAATTCAGAAACATGGTCTCCAATGACTTCTATACTTGGACATTTCTTTTCAACAATTTGCATCAGTTTTCTCTAAGAGCCAATCCTGGATCAGGGAGAAAGTTTTGAAAATGCTGTTGACAAAGTTTGATTTCCAGCCATGTGTAAAACTAATTTAGTTTGGTAAGAGGTCCAGCTGTTCTCATGTGATGTGGGGGATAGGAGACGAAGTTTTGCTTGATATCTTTATCTTTCCTAGTTCATTGTGAGGGTTTTTAATGCTAGAATTACTCCTTTTTTTTTTTTCCTTCTTCTTTTTCAAAATGTACTTCACGAAAATCACATTTAACGCACGAACATTACTTTCAATATAACCAAGCCCGTGCATTTTACGGGCAAAGACTAGTACATAAGAAAAAAGAGGAAAACTTAAAAAAACATTGTATCTTGTTTTTATCTTTTCTTGGCTCGTTGATTCTAAAATTTGTTTTTTAGTTTAATTAAAGAAGGTGCCTACATGTTGATAAAATTTTAACTTTGAAGAATACAATAAAAGACTTGAAGAATATCATAAAAGATTTAACGGTTTAAAGCACCAAGTTCTTGAAATCAAAACCTTTCGTGATTTAAGAAAGTTGGGAGTTTGTGATTCAGATCCGGATCAAGATTTGATTATTGAGTTTGGATAAATTCTTAATATAAGTTTCTTGTTTTTAATTTACAAGTGAACATATAGTAACATTCTAACATTAAAAACTTACAGATTGTTAGAGCACAAATAATAGAGATAGCTGCTTATGTGCCTGGTCTCTAGGAGCCTCCAATCACCACGGAATCCCAGGAAGTTTGAATGGGGTCATAGCTTATCTTCATGAACATCAGAGAAAGAGAGTTATAACTCAAAAGTCGAAAGATTTACTGCATCTCTTGGCTGTAAAAGGAAGTTGGATTTAGGTGGGATTTGCAAAGATTCTATGTTCCCTTCTAACATTTCTATAACCCTGCTCATTGATGGTCTAGTTGTAGGATCAGTTTGTATGCACCATAAGCCAACTATTAACATTTTCCTTATCCTCAAATGTTCATTTGCATTCACAATGATGTTCAGATCAAGTTCAGCATTCTGTTCAAGGTTCTTATATATCCAATCAGGAAAATAATTTTCACTTGAATGGTCAACTCTGAAATGAATATTTTTTGTCTCTCCAGCCATTTCCAAAGTCATCATACCATAGCTATAGACATCTGACTTGTGAGAAACGTCTCCAAAGTTTCTACAAAATACTTCTGGAGCTATATACCCTATTGTCCCTCTGGCCCTTGACATTGACACTATACTTGACCTATTGGGGCAAAGTCTCGCCAGGCCAAAATCCGATATTTTAGGGTTGAAGTCTTTATCCAGGAGAATGTTATGAGGCTTTATGTCGAAGTGCAAAATCTTTGTATTACATCCTTGGTGCAAGTATTCTATTCCCCGAGCTATGCCAACTGCAATTTGAAACAATTTTTCCCACCCTAACTGACGTTCTGTTATGGAGCTATTATGGCATATGTACTTCTCAAGAGATCCATTAGGCATGAACTCGTAAATGAGAGCTCTTTTGGAACCTTCAAAGCAAAATCCTAGGAGAGTGACAATGTTAATGTGGGAAGTTCTACTGATGCTTGCAACCTCATTGATAAATTCTTCTCCATTGCCTCTCGATTCTTTCAAAATCTTTACTGCTATAGGACGGCCATCGGGTAACTTCCCTCTATACACACTAGCAAAGCCCCCTTCCCCTAAGTTGTCTCTGAATGAGCTAGTCATTTTCTTAAGATCAGAGTAGTTGTATCTTCTTAGTTCAAGATTTTCATTGTTCTTCAGGAAGAGTTCAATGTCCTTACAGTTTTTCATTTTTCCCTTCAAATTCAGCATGTACTTCCTCTTTTTGAAAGCGAACAAGATTACGGAGAAGAGGAGTACAATTGCAGCTGAAACACCTGTGATGAAAAAAAAAATCTATGTTTAATAAGTAAAAAAATCTAAACGAATGGTACTGAAATTTGAAAGAGTTACCTGAAATCAAAATCAGTTTCGATTTACTCCTTCCTGCAGATGAAGTAAAATACATTTAAGATTAAGAAAACCTAACAAGATGGGAACCAGAAGCGGCCTTGTGGGCATGCGAGTTTGTAGGGGCACCAAAATGTTTTTTGTTAGTGTGTATATATGTATAATTATATATTTAAAATATTTATTAATTTTAAAATTTATTATTTTAATTAAAGGGCACAATATTTATAAAAAATGAGTTAAAAGTTAGACAAATGATGATTATTATTTAACATTGTTGTATTTCTATTCCTAATTACATATTATACCAATACATTTTTATTCACCCAAGGGAAAGAATTTAGATGGTTTAAGCTCCTTCATAGCTAATTTCAATGTGTTGCACTTAACTATTTTCATTTATGAATTATTTCTTTATTAATTTTATTCATTTGACCTGATACGATATGCAATTGCATAAGATCATAAAGCTAAGAATAATGTAATTGACTAGTAATCATAATTTTCTCAAATAATATCATGCTTAAAATAATGTCAACGAAAAGTAAAAAGAGGAGAAAGTATTATTCATAGAAAGAAACATATTGATGAAAATGTCACTATAGAAAATGCACAATCACTTGAAAATTCCTTCATAATCAATTATTTCCTTTATATAGCAGATCAAGCAATTTGATCACTTCAGCAAAGGTTCAATCAATTGAATTCATATGAAAGAAATTTGGATTTCTATTTATTTTTGACAAGTTAAATGTATTGGATGATGCTGATTTGAAAGTACACTGCGATCATTTTGACACTGTTCTAAGACATGTAAATTTTTGCGATTTTTATGGCAAAGATTTGCTTCAAGAGTTAAAAATTTTGCGAAATCTTTTACCAAAAGAAACAAAGACAGTTTTTTATATATTAACTAATTTGAAATATCAAAAGAAACAAAGACAACTTTTGATATATTGACTTATTTGAAAAAATTGGATCGTTTTTCGAATACATTTATTGTTTGTAGAGTATTACTGAATATTAATGTTTTTGTTGCATCTGCTGAAAGAAATTTTTCAGAACTGGAATTATTAAAATCTTATTTACAATCAACCATGTTATAAGAAGATTGAATAACATCACTTTAATATCTATTGAACAAGATTTGTTAGAAACGAAAGTTTAATTAGCTAGTTTGCTCCTAGAAATGCGAGAAAATTTATTTTTACATAATTTGTGCATTTTAAAGTTCACACGCGGTATTTGATGTTTCTAATTTCAAGGTTTTCTCATGTGGAATTGTACGAAAAGTTTAGGGGTTTGGATGGTTCTCTGTTGATGACATGAATTTTGATAAAGTTTGAGAGATGCTTTTGAATTTTATTTGTATTTTTCTTATTCACGACATTTAAAAAAATAAATAATAATATCATAATTTTACGATAATATAATGCTATTGAAATATATATTTTTTAATTTCATGAAATGAACACAATTTTAAAATGTCGTACAAGACATCCAAAGTTTTAGGACGAGCCCCAATGGGAACTCACTTTCTCAGTATACTCTCCCCTGCGTGTAAAGATTTTTCTCCATCAAAATATTCATTTTTATCAGGAGTCAAGGTTTTCTGTCAAATGCTTTAAG